TTATTACTAACACACAAGATGATATTTACCAAAAAAACTTTTACCAAACAATTTATTTACCAAGAGAAGAATCACTTTTCCGATTTTCTCACTCGTTAGATCTATCTATACCGCTCGACGCATCAAACCAGACCGAGTTCAGCTTTGAAAATCTTTTCCTCCAGATTTTATGATTATAAATCTCACTATACAGTGCGTGCTATGTTCGCATACCGACCTTTCTTCTACAAACTTGCCTTATCGCTCTTTTCAAATGGCGCCTTCGAAGTGCTCGGACCGTCGTGTGCACGCCTCTCACGTTCTCGTCAAAACCCGCTGACATTTCTTGTATATATCAGAGTAATTTTACTATAGTTTGATTTGATTTCTTGTGCCATTTCAAGAGAAAACTTCAGGGAAACATGCGTGTCTCAAAAAGTTGCGCTGAAATAACTCAATTCCCCGTAATCACTAATAAACTTTAATATCCCACGAGAGGGGACATCCGAGTGATATGCTAGAATTACGATGTCCCACGAGAGGGGACAACGGAGTGCAAAGGGTTAAATTGCTCGACAAAGTAACGGCGGTTCCGCATCGCCTTCAGGGACTTCTCCAATTATTACTCGACACCTGCCGCGGATAATTACGGAGGCTCGTGCAAAATGAACAGTTCCAAATTTCCGCACCTTCGAATATCGATAGTCGAGCAACACGGGTATACTTCAAAGGCTTCAGATAGCAAGTGTGCAAGATCATAAATTTTTCAGATTACGTAAAACAATATTAAATCTGCATATCTGTATCGTACTTATCGCGAAATCATTCGTTTAATAAAATTTTGTATCAGACGCAAACATTCATTCAAGTGGCCGGAGGAGATAGAATTTTTTAGGGAAGTACGCGAGATAAAAATAACTCTTGCATAACCGATTTGCAAAGATTTGCAAAGCTAATAATAAGACACACGGATGTTTCTGTAATTTCGTAGACAAGTTTTACCTTTGTATTTGAATATCTTCTACAAATGTTTTATATACGCCATAAGTACAAAGAGCCACAGCCTGCCAACGATATACACCGGCGAAACATGTGTAGACCGGTTTCTTTGTAAAACAAGTGTCGGAATACTTACGAACGATGGCGTGGATAAGAAAACATGCGTACAACGTGTGATCCAGAGATCTGATTTTCTCTTGTTCGTCTTCTTGCCCAGGCGGTGCCGTTGGAATGGCGCGTGCTGACACGCGACTGTGCCATGTTCATAATATCGGTCGCTGTACTGGTAATAATAATCTGGGACGGTGTAATAGAATGGTACGAGGCAGCGATACTGTTGGTGTTGCTGCTCGTTTACCTGATTCTGCTGTTCGCCGGCAAATTGCTGGCGCGTTTCTGTCCCGGCGGAACATCGAGCTCCACGGTAAATCGTAAGCGATCGACTAGTTTTTCGTTACACCAGGAAGCAAAGGCGAGATCAAACGGAAATCGTAGTAACGTCGTGCAATTTCTTTTTTTTTTTTCAACCAGACTCCTCCGTTGCCGAGAATACAACGTCGGAAGGTTCCCGCGTGCCGCATTCCATAAAGATTTCGAACGGCAACGGAGCGCTGCAAGAGAAACCGGAGAAGGATGAAAAAGTAGCCAGCGATCCTGAAAGTTTGACGACTGGTCGGAGATCGGAAAGCGACGAGGAGCCAGGTACCTATCATACTACTCTCGCACGGTTTCGCCGCTTCTACCCGTGAAAACGATAGAAATGAAGTTTATTCGTCGCTCTTGTCTCGCAGAGAACATATTTCTATGGCCGAGGGAGCGAAGCGTGCTGGCCAAGTTTTGGTTCCTGCTGGTCTGGCCGTTGAAGTTCCTTTTCCTCGTAACGATACCGGACCCTAGACGCAAGCGATTCAGGAGATGGTATCCGTTGACCTTCGTCATGTGCGTGGTATGGATCGCGATATCCTCCTACTTGGTGTCGTGGATGATGACGGTCATCGGCAGCACCATAGGGATCCCAAGCTCCATCATGGGCCTCACGTTCTTGGCCGCTGGCGGCAACATGCCGGAGATGTCGTCCATCGTGATCTTAGCGAGACAAGGTACGCGGTCGGTGTTCTTTTCCGTGTTCGATTAATTGTCAGCCTGGGGAACCGATTTATCAAACTCTACGCTTCCAGGTGACGGGAACATGGCGATGAGCAACACGCTGGGAGCGAACATCCTGGACATCCTGCTTTGTCTGGGTCTACCGTGGCTGATCAAATGTCTGCTGACGGGGAAGAAAGTGACGGTTCTGTCGGGATCGCTGTCGTACAGTATACTTTCAATAATAGGCTGCGTAATCGTGCTCTACGCGGTCATTGCTATCTTTAATTTCGAGCTAAACAAAAAGGTAGGGGTGATTTGCGTGTTACTGTACACAATCTTTATAGTCTTCTCCATCCTCGCCGAGTTGAAAGTGTTCGGCGTACCTGATCGCGGCTAGCGGGGCGCGTTTTTGTTTATTTATTTATTCTACGTCGTGAAGAGATCCCCGATCATGTACAATACTCGCACGGAACCGGTCATGCTCCGCAGCCGTCGGCAGCAGCGATCTGTCCCGACCAAAGAACCACGAATTTCACCGAAGTCGAGAAGCGTGTCTCGCACGATCCGCGACGGCAGCAGCGTTCGCCAAAGCGTTCGCGTTAGTACTTCTTTTTTCAATTAGCTTCGATTAGCCGGGCCGCGAATGGCGTCCTGCGACCGCGCTATCAAAAGAAAGATGGCCGTCGGCCAACGAGGACGGTTCTCGGACGACAGCCGGCAATGGATGCATCGGTTAGGGGGGAAAAAAATGGAGGACCGGTACGGCGGTAAAAATTGCGGGCAGACCGTTCGACTCGGTTCGATTCCGGATCGATCCGTAATCTTGATCGATCGTCGCTATCTAGGCCAAGTGTGTCGCAGGTAATTTGCGTCCAGGTGTCCATTCTTCATAAAGAATAATTTATTTTTGCATTCTAAGAATGAACTCGATCGGAGGAAACGCTCCCGACGAGTGCTCGCCGTCGAGCGATCCCGGTCCTGCAAATTTTTTTTAGCGATTTTTAGTGAACACGACGATGCCGACCGACGCTCGACCGCCATGCTCGAACGGATGTTCCAACCCCTGGCCTCGCGTGTCGTCTCTCGCAGCGGATTCACTCCGTACAAAAGAGTGCTACAAAATGTACGGCGAAAGCGGAGGAATGCCACGTCGATGTCGGTAGCGTTTTCGCCAGGCCTAGCGTGAATTCGAGAGGATGTTTCGTTTCTTTTTTTCTTCTTTTCTTTTTTCTGTTGTTCTTTTTCATTTTTTTCTGTTGCTTTTCTTATTCGCGACGGAACAGACGGAGATGTTGCTCTGGAATTCGCGATCGCGGCCTGGTCCCATCGTCGACATGCGAGACTCTACGTGTGCGTTGCAGGGTAGATGCGTATACGCGATGATCACCGTTTATTCGAAAAGTTCACAATAATAGGCATTCGGATATATAAGTTGGTTCTTTTCAGCTCCTCGGCTCCTTCGCGACTCCTCGTTCCTGTTTCGCGCGTACTTTCAGGCGTTCCGAGTTTAAACGCTCGCAGCCGTGATTGCGAGCGATCCATCGATTCCGTGTCGAGGACTCGCTCGAACCTCGGCTCCGGCCGACACAATCAGTTCTATCGGCTTTTATTGCGATTAGTTCTCTATTCTCAATGTGTGTGTGTGTGTTGCCGGCGATGGTCGCACGATAATAATTAGCCGCGTAAACAAAACGCGATAGCCGGCCTAACACGTATATGTTGTTAACGAGAGATAAGATAATCCGCCGGCGAGCGGATTGTGTAACGATAATGAGCGAAAAAACGCATGGATATTCTCGTTCTCTCCCGGTTCTCCACCCGGGGGATGCGGGCGGCAGCTAATTCCCGTGTTCCCCCGTGTGACAACTGATAGTCAGTGCGTACGGTATTGCGTGTGCAAGCAGGCAGGATGTCTCGCGCGAGAAACGTAGAAAAATAAAACGTGAAACGGTAGTGGCCGGAGAGTCTACGTCGCTCCATGGAAAAAATCGGTTTCGCATCGTCTCGTAGGAATGCGGCGCGGGCCAGTCGCGCACTGATCGCGAAACCGTCGTCCTCGACAACGCGTCAGAAGCTCGTTGTCGCGTCCGAATCGTTCGGAAATTTCAATGAGAGAAGAAAGAGATGAGAGTGAAAGATAGAAAGAAAGAAAAGAGAGAAAGAGAGAGAGAGAGAGAGAGAGAGAAAAGTGAGAAAAACTGCGACAGTTTCGTCGGCGATCGCCAGTGCGCGGCGTGGCCCGTTTTAATCGTACGTTACAAAACTGGTCGACGGACCGTGGAGTTTATGCAGTTTTGATATTAAACGTTCTGTACAATGTCCCACATCTCCCGCATTTCTTCTCGTAAAATATACTCCACTTCGTCGCCGCCGGGACGAGTTCGTCCTTGACAGCGTTCTCGATCGTGTGCGGAGTCAGCTCGCCTTAAAAATACGAAAGATCCGAGTCCCCCGAGAGAAAACGTAACTCGCGTCGGTGGCTCGATGGCGCAGCTCGGATCTCGGAGATTTACGATCGGATTAGCACGCTAGAAATAGGCTTCGCAGTCGATGCTCGCGCGACGAATCACTTCGCGCGGATCTCCGCTGGGACATCGTTATGTTCCCGCGTGCAGATAAGCATGGGCAACGAGCCCCGATCGCCTCCTCCCCACCCCCTCCTACCCACACCCCTGCTTCGGGGCAAATCACAAATTGAATTCTACAGCAAGAGTACGCTGCTAGAGAGAGAGAAATCGCCTCGAGTAGGCGTGGCTTCGTTGCTGTCGCTTCTCCGCCGGGGCCAGAATAATGCCCCACGGGGCAGTTGTGCCCATGCTTGGTGCAAAAACTTTTGACATCACCTTCGTTCTTCAAAGACGATCGATAAAGCCACGGGTGCAACCTTATTACTCTCGTCGATCAACCACGGTGCACTCGAATGCGCGGTAAAAAAACGTCGTCGAGTTGTCGACAAATCGTCGGCTGATTAGAAAATGTGGTTAACATCGCGATTCCTCGATCTCGCTCACGATTGTGTGCCGTTCCCGATAAAAAGTATTCGATCGTATCGGTTCACATTGTGCTCGGTAATTCGCGTGTCCGAAGATATTTTTAACGGTGCGATAAACACGCGCTGTCGCACGCAGATAAAAAGTTTATGTAGAAACGAGCGCGGACGTTCGTCTGCAATGGCAGCGTTCAATTATTTCGCGGCGATAAGGAAAATCGTTGGGCAACCGGGGTATCGCTGTCTCTTTTCCATATCTGTATTCGTTCGATCAACAAATCGATCGCGTTGCATCGCCTCCCGAATGGATCAGCGTATCTGATAATTAGATAATTTCCAGAAATATCATCGGCTTCCGGAAACTTCGTATCTTCAATAAACGCGAGCTGCTATTTTCGTGTTTATCCGTTCCGCGATCTTGATCGAATACTTTCCGTCCCGGCCGGCGTTCGTCCGGATTCAATAGTTCGCACGGTTTCGCATTTCGCGTTCGTACCGAAACGAGATGCTCGCAGCGGGATTCGCAAACAAGAAACGACCAAAAAACGCTCTCGACGTTCCAATGGTTTTAATTAGTTGTCGTCGTTCCCGTTCTCGGCCCGAGAATAAATTTCCCTCGGCCGTTCGTCGTTCGGTGAACCACGCGGCGTGGATGAATGAAAAAACAGATGCTCGCCCGTCGAAAATATTGTTGACCACGGCGTATCGGAACGGCGATTAAATGTAATAATTAACGTTATCGACGCGTGTAGCGGTAGCCACTTCGATGTTCGCTATCGGTCGCTGTCAAGATCCCAATTGGATCTGTCTCGAGCACGACGATTCCATCGCTGCTGAAACTTCGTCGGGGATTATTTAGAAAATTCGCCGGATACCAAATTGTGATCGCGACGATATCGGCGCTCTCGCTTGTGTGTTCCTCTCGTCGATCGATCATCCGCGCGGCTGGAACTCGGTCGTGGAATTGGATCGCGCGCTCCGTTTCGTTTCGCCCGAATAAATCGGGACACGCCCCGGGACCGCGAATCTTCTTCGCGTTTCGCAAGTTCATTCTTTTTTCGTGTTTTCTTTTTTACCGCCGCGATCCGTCTTCCGGCACGGATCGATTTTCTACGCGGGGACCGCGCAAAACCACGGCCACCGCGCGAACGCTCTTATCCGTCCGGGAAAATGTTCTGAAGCCGAGAGTCGCGAGTACACAGGCGGTGTCGACGAAAAACGATCTAACAACCTCGCGTTGTAATTCTCGCGAGACGTCGCGCCGTAAGGACGGTTATCGTTCGTAGAATCGGCTGTCAGAAGACACTGCTTTGGCAAATACGCGACAATACAGTTGAGAATTCAATCGGTCGAATAGAATACGAAATAAGCGGTTCGAATAAAAATCGTTCTTACGTACCCAAGAGCGTCGTTCGATCACATTGTTAAATTACGAAATTCTCGTTCGCATACTCTCTCTCTCTCTCTCTCTCTCTCTTCCGCGCGTCTTCTTCTTTTTTTGTTTCTCTTTTTTCTCTCTCTCCCACGCGGATCCCCATTGACTTACCGCCGTTCGTGCATCGTCATGCGCTCGAATCATCGTTCTCTCTCTCCCGTTCGCACACTTTCCACGTTCACACGTTCACGCACGCACACACCCTCGTCTCGCTTCCTCCCCACCCCCACCCCTCGTCCTATTTATGTACATAATTAATTTAATGTTTCAACTACGCACGTCTACATACTTACCTATCTACCCGTCTAAAATAGTTTTTCACCTATCTACGTAGCTGCCGCTAGGCAGATAGATAGCTCGCCGCTATCTAGCCAGGAAGCCAGGCTAGTTAGCCGGCCAACTGTCCTTCTTTCTTTATTATTATTATTATTATTATTATTATTATTATTATTATTTTCTTCTGTCTCCGATAACGAACGGTATGGCAAGAGAGCTACGATATACTCGTTATGTACAGAGGAAAAGGACTGATAGAATATNCCCACCCCTCGTCCTATTTATGTACATAATTAATTTAATGTTTCAACTACGCACGTCTACATACTTACCTATCTACCCGTCTAAAATAGTTTTTCACCTATCTACGTAGCTGCCGCTAGGCAGATAGATAGCTCGCCGCTATCTAGCCAGGAAGCCAGGCTAGTTAGCCGGCCAACTGTCCTTCTTTCTTTATTATTATTATTATTATTATTATTATTATTATTATTATTATTATTTTCTTCTGTCTCCGATAACGAACGGTATGGCAAGAGAGCTACGATATACTCGTTATGTACAGAGGAAAAGGACTGATAGAATATTTTTTTCATCGATTCGAAATGGCAGAGCGGCGGTAAACGTTCGAATTAAATTTACGATAAAACTCTAAAGTGAAGTGTTTTTTTGTTCTTCTCCTCCTGCGACCGTGTCAGCTCCGAAGCGAAATACGTTTTAGTCGTGTGTCTCGACGGGAAACGTCCACCCGTGCTGCTTTGTTCGCTCAAGATTTACAAAAGGTCACCGACCGCTTCGAACATTATTATTGCTGGCGTACGATCTGCATGCACGGAATAAATTCGTCTTTTCTTGAGCGGAAGAATTTGTAAAACTGCGCGGAGTGGCAAAACGAACTCTTATTCTCTCTCTCTCTCTCTCTCTCTCTCTCTCTCTCTCTCCCTCTCTCTCTCTCTTTCTCTCTCCGTGCGTGTAATGTGTTGTGTTGCGCGTGTGTAATGTAGTTGCGTCGTGTGTGCGAGCGCGCGCGTGTATAATGCGTTGTATGTACGTGTGCAATGTATTGTGCGTGTGTGTGTGTGTAATGTGTCGTGCTTCTCTTTTCTCCTCCTCTTTTCTTTTTTTTATCATTTTTGAGCGGAAAACAGTACCTGCGGCGTGACCGTTCCCTACTCTACAATCATACTATTTAGTTAGCTTTAATGAACACTTTGCGTATTGAATTACGAATAAATATTCAACTCGCAGCCTCGTAAAAAATCTTGGTTCCTCGTCTATAGGGTTTTCTTTCCTCTCGCAAAGCGAAGAATCACCACGTTCTCGTGTTTACATCTCGCGGAATGAAAACAAAACGTCGCACGGCTGCGTTGCAACGCGTATGTCGGATCCGGAATTGTTTCTCGCCTCTCTCTTTCTCTCTCTCTCTCTTTCTCTCTCTCTCTCTCTCTCTCTCTCTCTCTCTCTGTTCTCGTCTCCCCACCATCGGACGACCTCGCGTTCGAATCACCGATTAAGCGAATCCCGCTTACGATCGCGCGCAACCGCGATCGTAATCGTAATCATAACTGTTTAGTAGTTAAGTCCTTACTTGTACCGGTTTCAGTCGTCGTAGGGGTCGCAGTCGCAGTCCGAACTCTGTAGTCGCAGTAAATTGGTTGTCGCGGTGTGACCGTCGCAGTCGTTCTAATTGCAATTCGTAACCGTAACTGTAATCATAACCGTAACCATAAGTATTGTCGTCGATATTCATTTATGCGAAAACGCTCGCGCGCCCGCGCGGCTGTAACGCCTGAACAACATGCAGCGGGGGGTTGTTTTTCTTCTTTTTTTTTTCTTAATGGAAAAATTTGTTTCTCTTTGTTTCGTCCTAGCTTAGCCTTGTTGTTTTAGTCGATCTCGATACCGATTTCTCGAGCCCGAGAGCTCGAGTTCGATTTTCCGTTTATCCCATCTTTCTCAGTTTTGTTCCTGGTTTCGCCTCGGTGTCGGCCAGCCTCGAAAGTCAAAAATTCGTTCGACCAAGTTTTCTAATTGCGTGTCCGCACGGATTGGTACGACGCAAACCATTGTTCTTCACACTCTGCTCGTTCATTGGATCTCGCAGAAGGGTAGTTTGCCGGTTAGTTCCTTGGTCTGTTCTTGATCCTGGCTGTTCGCGCCCTCGCTCTTCGGGCTACCGCCGTCCTCTAGTGAGCCCCCACCGCTACCGTGAGGGCAAAATGATTGTCATCTAAGCGCCAGGGTCGAGATCATCGGTGGTCGGGACGGTTTGTTGTCGAGTATTCTCTCGATCTCGTTCATTATGTTCGCATTCAGTTTTGGGATCAGCTGAAACCGTCACACGTTCGTTTCATCGTCAACGGGCCCACGTCAATATCTTCGTTAGACTGCGGATTTTTATGCGTTTATGGCGAATATATAAATCGATCGTACGCGAAACACGAAAACATTCGACGTCTATTACAGCTCTATTATAGACAATTTTTATGTCGCATTAAAATCTTCACAGTCTAGTTTGTTATTCTTTGCGCGATCGTTCGCGCGTGACTTCGCTATGCTAATTTCGGCTATTCGAAACGAAGCAGCGAGGCACTAAATTAATTGCAACGTTAACCCTCTCGTCGCACCGTATTCTTCACAGTTACAACGACCAGAAGTATATTAAGGAATAATTCCTTAACCCCTCGCCGTATCATTTTCTGTACAATTATAATGATTAGAACTTTTCGGATCGCAATAATTTCTTAGAAGAAAAAGAAACTTTATATTTATTATGTATTATATTTATATATATATATATATATATATATATAAATTATTATTTTATTATATTATATTAAATTTTATATTAAAATATTTATATACAAATAAAGTTTCTTTTTCTTCTAAGAAATTATTCCGATCCGAAAAGTTCTAATCAATTTCTTTTTCTTCTAAGAAACAGTAACGGTGATATTTTTAAGAAAAACGCTGTTCACCTTTACTTTAGAACATCTGAAGAATATTAACTAATTTTTCGGACCCGAAATAATATAACTCGTAAACAAAGCCGCGGATTGCATTTTTACAAAGGAACAAATTACTTAGAATGACCTCAGCTACCCCACATTTCCGTAATGCGAGACATTTATTGGGACACCCTGTATATATACACCTATTTAAATATAGGTGACGAGAGAATAGAATTTGATTCCGTCCAAACAACATTCACACCTAACAGCTAATTATTAGAAATCTCCACCAGGAGTCTGACTCGTCAAAATACCGCAAGGAGTTAAAAGAAAACGAATATATTTATTGTGCGTCTGCATTTACTCGAACGTTTATATAGCGACGACGAGAGAGCAAAATTTTATCGAATGAAATATCGTTCACGCTTAGTACGAGTTATTCCCAAAAGAATCTTCGTCGCGAGTCAAACTCGTCGAAGCACAGCAAGGGGTTAAACGTGGTAAAAAAAGCATCTCGATTCCTTCAGAATCAGTACAGTAATGTCTCCCTTACTGACGCTCAGATTGTCCACTAAAATGGATAATTTGGGAAGAGGAGATACGATTATTCGAGCCTTGCGACTCGTTTTTATAATTGTGGACAATTTATAAGTATAAAAATAAATCGCTGGGCTCGAATAATCGTATCTCCTCTTCCCAGATTGTCCATTTTTGTGCGCAATCTGGGCGTCAATTAGAGAGACATTACTGTACTTCGATCCGGATTGCGAATCTTCGGGCATGCAAATCTCTGATTCGTTTCGAAACGATTGAAACGCGACGGTTGCAACGATCGTGCATAGTATCGCGATCGACGCATTCACTGGCATTACCTGTAAACTCTGAAGACTCTCGTACAATTGATCTATGTTTGATGCACCGAGAAGAAGGCACTGAACACTTTCATTCTTTAAAGACCACGCGATGGCCAGCTGTCCGAACGAACATCCGAGACGTTCGGCAAGAGCGCAGACGTCCCGCAGTTTGTCCGAATACTTTCGTGTTTCCTCCTCGACGGTCTTATCCTTCCAGCCGTATTCCTGCTGAAACAAATCGTCCAAATGAATCATTCCCGTGAGCCGCTAAGAGCGTTTCTATGTTTGCGTATCGTCTCTCTCCTTGTCCCATATAACATTGGAGTACGTACGTCTTTGTACAAGGATTGCGTCTCGTCCTCTGTCCAGCTGAACGAGGAATACTTATTCTGCAATCATTCACGATAAGAGATTCTACGGTCGTGTTTGTCTCTCTAAAGATTAATCGATCGGTTCGCAGAAATAGTGAATGGGCAACGTACGCAACGGCGATCTTACCTTGTAAGACGACCGCGATAAAAACGACACCCCGTAATCCTCCGGTTTCGTGGAAACCATACCGATCGTGACCGTGGACCATGCCATCAGACCGACGCCTAAACGAGAAAAACCATTTCGATATCATACCGATATTTCGTGTCGATCGTTGTCGCATTGTTTCGCCCCGCGTTCCTTTATCGTCGCTATCGTTTTAACCGTTTGGCTGCTGACGTATCTTTTCGGACATATGCGAAAACTGCGACACTAATTGCTCGTGTATGGGAAAAAATGTAAAACACTTTTCATACAATAAACTCGTTTGTATCGCTTTGCGACAACGAAAATTAAAAAATACCACTTATTTACATAAATTTGTTTTAATTAACACGNAATAGTTCTGTCACACGATCGTTAAAAAATAATTGTCGAGCTCCGTTTTGCTACGAAATAATAACAATCTTGAACAAAGCATAAGTAATTTCCGCAGTGGTTACAAACACCTGTTCAACGAGTTTCTTGTCACCGTTAGCGTAAAGAAGTCATCATTATCTGCAACAAATTACAGAATTTGTCCGTAACGATTTCTCTGATAGAACGAGATTATTTTTATTTCTGAATTCTTGATTTCTAGCAATTAATTAAAAAATGTTCCATTATAAGATCTCCAAAAAATTAACGCGCCTAGAATTAATATATAATATACAATATAATAATATTATATTATAATAATATTAATATAATATATATTATATATAATATATAATATTAATATATAATATATCATATATAATATAACCCTAACGAGTATGTGTAAATAGTTCTGTCACACGATCGTTAAAAAATAATTGTCGAGCTCCGTTTTGCTACGAAATAATAACAATCTTGAACAAAGCATAAGTAATTTCCGCACTGGTTACAAACACCTGTTCAACAAGTTTCTTGTCACCGTTAGCGTAAAGAAGGCATCACCGGTGAGAAAGGTTGTCGAGCGGCACGAACCGATGATAAAGTGCCAGAAAATATTGACTTTGGTAGAAAACAGTCACGCTCTTCTCGCTTTACCTCACAATTATATTTCGATCGAATAGAACCGACTGTCCAACGCGATTGAGAAGCAAAACCGCCAGCCCATTGAGCCGCTCCGCTGCATTGGCTCTCGTCTTTCGCGTTTCGTGTTACTTCCGCTTCAACGTTTGATATTAAAAGCGAGCGCACGCATACTTACAGTCGCAGTACAATGTTCTCCGAATATTATTTCATCTTCAACCAGGGAATGCTAATAGCATAAGGATGAAACAATGCGAAAGAAACGAAGATATTACCCCTTGCCTGAAAATTGTTTGACGATTATGCTCGCAACAGTTGTTCCGTTCTTCAAGAACTTCTCGACACAGGAAAGAATTATGTTCGCTGCAGATATTATTCACTTGAGTATTTTTAAGCCTGCAGGTTGGTCAAATTAAATTCGAGATCTTTGTCATGAGCCGAACACTTTAAGCATTTACTCGTAAAATTGTCGATTAAATTTTATTAAATCGTTATTTAAGTCTCTTAAATTGCAAAAAATTAAAATGTTTTAAATTAGTACTCTTGAATAACTCGCTCATTACGTAATTGCCGAAGGGAATCGTGAATAATATGAGCAGAATTTCCTAACGATTACTGTCTTTAACAAGATTACTATGGCCGTTCGAATTACGATAATGTGTTCATTAGCGAGGTAACTTCACTACCACTCCCGCTGTTTGATAATTCCTGAGCGAATCGATTTTCAATATGCTGAATTACTTTTTTTACATATTGTGCACGGCGGTATAAACGTTTCGCAATTGTTGTCAAAAACTGATTCATTAATTTGTTGACTAACGTAAACGAAGGCGAATATAATTTCTCCACAATTCTCTATAAAATAGGTTGAAACATATATTTAAAATTACTACTCATACGTTTATTACGATAAACTATACTTCTGAGTGAAATCCGACGTTTAAGTAGTAGAACCGTACGATTGATAAAACATACACCATTTCTTCTAGCATTGCAACGAGTGATCCGATCAAACTAAAATATGTATAATCCTTATATTCTGTCTATAATAAAACAGTCAATTTTGCCTTTTGGCTTTTCCATTCGCATTTTTTTCATGCAATTCATGCATTTTTGAAACTCTCGTTGTAGGCTCAGATGCAGAAGCTACAAACCATGAGTTTTTCACTCCTTTGTCATTCGTGGTAATACTAAAATAAAATTTAAAAAAAGGATTTCAAATATTGTCTAGAAGACCACTTCTATCATCTAAAAAATATTCAAGTCGTTTAGTCGAGTTTTGAAAGAGTTATTACGTTTTAAAAGGTGACCAAATACATTTGCCCGTGGTTCTAATCACGTCGATCGCGAAAGAAATCGTAAGACAAATAATAGACATATTAATTCCGCGTACACGGAATTAATAATTATATGGACCTAGATAATAATTATAACGACCCAGGGCAGCCGATGACCACGTTAATCGGACAGCTGTTTCCGAGGAGTGTACTCGTCGCGACAGAAAGTTTTGCCATTTCTCCGCGACGAGTGTACTCCTCGAAAACAGCTAGCCGATCAAGAAGGGTGTATCCTTTGATATTCTTTAAATTGTATATTAACACGTTGAATGCCACGAGGGTCACCGGTGACCGGCACTTAACTTGGAGGCGACGCCATGGGGGCTACCGGTGACCGGCGCGCCCAAATTGATAGGAATATATATAATTTCAAACAAATGTCAATATCTAAAATTTTGTATTATTACCATCGTCGATTCAAACGGTGACCCCTGTCGCAATTAACATGTCGAACATGGTTATACACTGTAACTTATCTATTGCAGATAATATTTCAACATTACATGTATCACATAAAAGAAAATTCATCGTGGCGCCGCGGACGATTTCTGTAAAACCGGCGTGGCATTCAACGTGTTAAATTTCTGAATAAAATTGGTAATGAGCACAAATTCTAGTGATTTTGGAGCAACGTTATTACGTTCTCCTAGGAACGCTATCGCGCTCTTCGCATTTTTGGCACAACATATAAGAAAAGCGCGACAGCGCTCCTCAGCAGTCGAACGGTTAATCCACGCTCACCTATTTTGTTGTACAACTCCGGCATATAAAGTTCTGGTTTTTCCCTATAAAATAAATGATATTCGGCTTGCTCCACAATCGGTGTAACACAGTTGAATTGACGACAATTCGTATATGCCTCCATGATCTCCACCGGGGTCCAGCGAGACGTTCCCCAATACATCACCCATCCCTTGGTGATCACGTAATTCATCGCTCGCACTATCTCTGCAAAAGGTTTCGAACGGCAGACGATAAATAGTCGTGAATTATCATCGATTCGGATCTGTTTCCCGACAGAAAAGACTCTCGGACGCGACCGACGGTCAACCAAGCCGTTCATCTCGTGCACATAGACGTCGTGGTTCCGGAGCGATTGCGGTAGGGTGGACAGATATTATGATCGATGGCGTGTGTCGAGTCTTTTCTTTCGAGGAACGTGCTATACGGATACGCTTGGCCAACAAACCTTCCATCGGACACATCGGATCAACCTTGTGAATCATTACTATATCGATATAGGAGAGCTGCAATCTGACCAGAGACGCCTGCACCGATTCAATGATGTGTTTGCGCGATAATCCACGACCCTCTGCCCTGTGATCAATTTACATTTACTTTTGCCCCCCCGAACATCATTCGGAACGATCAACGTTCCGATCGCTGTGCCGTGGATCTTCGTACAACGTGAATTATTTTACAAAGCCGGAAAGCGAACGGCGAATGCTCGAGATTCACAGAAATGCGCTAATCGAGTTCTCGAATCTGCCGATGCAGCTTCACAGGAGCAATTTCATGCTTTTTAACGCTGGAACTAGCTAAACTTCGTTATTTATTCGTACCATTCGTGCATGAATATGCTTGAAATTTATCGACTCGCGGAAACATTTCTACGCTTTATTGCGTTTCTTGGAACTTCCTTGACTCGTTCACGTTTTTATTTCTTTATTTATTTATATCTTTAATTTCATTGACTGCCACGCAAATTTAGCGCGTCTTGCCCTGGGTGCCAAGGTTTTATTTTAAAGAAAACACGAAGTTTTACAAAATATAATAATATTAACACTATGCCGTCCGGTGACACCACGCTGGCGCGATGCAAAAACTATCCGTTGTATGCCGGTGGTACCACTTTGGTGCCATTTTAAAAAACTGAAATAACATTTGAACTATATTTCTTGGGTGTTAAAAAGGCAGCAAAGTAACTATAGCATTGTGCTTATTTAACCAAGAATTAAGCACGAAAATTCTCGGATGACATATCTTAATTTTAGGAATTTATATTACCGCCATCTTCGAAATTTTTTTTTTAATCTAAAATTTCCAAGCTATTATGCCGGCGTCAAACAAAAGAATCACATCTAAGATCTGCGGACGGCATAGTGTTAAGTTACTGATATAATATTGCAATGGCATTTACAGTATTCTTTTTATTGATAATATGTTCTCTACACCAGGGGTGTCAAACCCGCATGCGGCCCGAGATGAACATTTTTGATGTCAAGTATCAGGACGTAAACAATAATTTAACTTTATATATGTTTATTTCAATGTACTAGTCAAAATAAAAATATTTGTTTCTATGAACATTGATATTTTTTTTTGCGGCCCACCTAAAGTTAAGCATTGTTTATTTATTATTATGGCCCAAGTTAGCTTCTGAGTTTGACACCCCTGCTCTACACTATATACATTTTTCATTCATCCTTTCTAATAGTTCCTAACTCAAATAGCCATTTGTAGCCAATCTAAACTTGCAGCACCCACGTGCTACCTCGCAATTAGCAGTCAATGGGTTAACAACGCTGTGGTCGCGTAAGATTGACTTGAATTCAACGAATACAGTAAATTCTCCCCAATTTTTCCTTCAGCTTGTAAACAAAAATGGACAATTTTGGAAGCGAAGATACGATTATTTGAGTCTCGCGGCTCATTTTTTAGACGCCGATCGTCAATAATTATAAAAACGAGCTGCAACGCTCGAATAATCGTACCTCCACTTCAAAAATTGTTCATTTTTGTTTACAAACTGCAGGAGAATTGGGAAGAATTAGCTGCACCATTTTGTTTTAAAACGCGAAAAAGTGCTCTAATTCGGATACGCTGCCCGTGCACGAAGATCCGCCGTCCGCCTAGGCTCTGCTAACTGCGCGAAGCGAAGCAACTCGTTACTTACTTAGTGTTCCAGTAGATTTTGGTAGTGACGACGTAGCTCGAGCGATTCCAAGCGCGTCGCAACAAAATCCGACCGAACTGGATTTCCGCTCTGTGCCCGCTATGCGCTTCGCTCAAGTCGAACACGTTTATGCCGCTGTCATAAGCGAGCGCGACCACTGCCTCTGCAGCTTCCTCGCTACTACATCCTCCAATACCGAAAGTCGTCCACGTACCTATGCGTATCAATGAATACTTCAGTCATTACGGAATTCCCCGTCCTCCGGATTTATTATTAACACAACACCGGATAATTAGATCGATCTTCTGCGAACGTACGTTCACGCTTCCGTTATATTCAACAATTAATACGACGACGCGTATGTGATATCAAGAGTAATCGACGTCTACATACCTCGCTTACGCTTCTCCGCGACAACTCACCTTGTTACGAATCATCCATTCTTCAGGCGCACCCTCGGACTCCGCGTTCTTCATCCCTTCTACTTACTCTTTTCTTCTAGTCTTGCCACCACATTTTTCGTGCCAACTTTCTTTCTCCCCCCCTCTCTCTCTTTCTCCCGCTTTCTCTTTCTCTATTCACCAACTACATGGTAACGAGAACTAGCTATCAATTAACAACGGTGTGTAACGATCTACTTGCTTCCGCTCACCCAGTTATCCGCAGCCTCCAAGTTCAGTGTCTCTCTCCTCGTTGATTCGAAGCGCACGGCGACGGCTACGTAAATCCTCGTATTACCTTTCAACGTCTCGTTGACCCCGCACCCAGGAAAACCGGAACGCTGTTGCACGGGGGTGGGTGGGTGTGTGGAAACATCGACAGACAAGAAGCGGACCATAACGGGGGGTGGAAAAAGATAGACGCGCGCGTGCAAGCGGAAGAGCAAAGAGCTAAAACGATTCGTTTACGTAGAAGGAAAGAGAAGCGAATGCGTTCTGACGTTGCAGTGAAAATAAATGCTGGCTTGTCCCCGAACAAATTGCGGCCTCCCGATCCGAGCATTTTAATTCATGCTCATCGCGCGGTCTACCTGGTCAAAAGCCGCCATCATTTAGCGTCTCGTTTGCTTTATTACGAGTGGATCGCGGATTTTACGCGTTCGCGAGACAAGAACGGTGAAATTGGTGGCGTTTAAAACGGCGGACGGATTCGAAGAATTCTCGTTGCGTTTGGCTTATTGAAATTATTTTCGCGTTTTCTATTTATTTTTGCAACTGATACAGAAATATTGCGTTTCGTTCGATGATGTAGAATTGAAATCGTCAATGTCACTTTATTGTTAAGCGTCTTTTTGAATCTTCATCGTCAGTCGATTGCGGATTTTATGCTTTTTTTGCGAAGAATGAGTTGGCGAGGATAAAAAGAATATCGATGCGTTACATTCAATTTATTAGAATGATTAGACGAGGAAAGACATTTCTCGACTTTTTCGTATTTTGTCCAGAGATACAGAGCGCAATCACGGGTTACGGTTACTAATTGAAACGGTAATAATTAAAATCGCGAATGTGTCGCTCGATCTGACGACGTCGCTTCTAGCCTGAATCATTAGCGAATCGCGGATCTAGCGCATTCGTGCCAAGAACGATTACGAATCAAAGCCATGAATATTCTCTCATTATTTAGCCTTTTTCATCGGTTCGTGTCATTAGCGTATCCCGAATCTTATGCGCCTACGCCAAGCTTATTTCGTAAGGGTTCTGTAATTTATGCGAAGGGTAGATGAGAAACAATCGAACGAATCGGAGTCCGCCGACACGCCGGCGATTCGACTCGTCAGTATCATCCGACGAAGAAAAAGAGACGTTTCCCGTCTCTTAAAACCGGCGCGGAAAAGTTCTATTCCGCCTAAAAATCCGCATCGCGATCGTAAGTTACGCGTACCATTTCACCGTCCGTTTCACTCGAAAGCACATTTTTATGCGCGTTTAAAATAGAACGCCGAGCGGTAAAACCGCTCGTAGCATTGATCTTGAAGACGCGCCCAGTGAACGTACAGCAGGATTCTCCCGTTCGAATGATTTCCCAGAGAGAGAGACAGAAAGAGAGAAAGAGAGAGAGAGAGAGAGAGAGAGAGAAAGATAAAGATAAAGATAAAGATAATGAGAAACATCTTAAAATCAGTTGCACCGATCGATGCCGATTTCAAATTCGACCGAAACGGAACGGAAAAATCGGGAGAAAATCGAACGGTCCGTCGAAAAGGCGAAGGCCGCAATTTCTTTGGCGGACAAGGGNGAACCGACTTCGACCTCCACTTAGTTTTTCTCCGTTTTCTATCCTAATTTTCCTATCGACGTTCGTCGAGCGAAAACATCGAGCAACCGCGTAAACCAGCAAGGAATCCAATGTTGCATTAAAAAAGAAACAAAAAAGAAACTAGTATTCGCAAATAACCAGGTGGTCGTATTCCAACAGAGAGAGACAGAAAGAGAGAAAGAGAGAGAGAGAGAGAGAGAGAGAGAAAGATAAAGATAAAGATAAAGATAATGAGAAACATCTTAAAATCAGTTGCACCGATCGATGCCGATTTCAAATTCGACCGAAACGGAACGGAAAAATCGGGAGAAAATCGAACGGTCCGTCGAAAAGGCGAAGGCCGCAATTTCTTTGGCGGACAAGGGCCGAGGTCGGAGGCGTTTCGTATATGCGGGTGTACACATCGAGATGAAATAAAAAACGGTCGGAATATAGCCATGACTCTGTTCGGCACTACGAAAGTGGGGGAAAACATTCAGCGTACCTAATCCAACATTGGAAACACGTAGACCGCTTTTGCCCAAGTTGCGGTAGCGAATACCTGGCGAAGGATGCTGTAAGCGTTGCGCTTGTGCGGCAATGCAGTTAGTCAGTAGCTGTTCCTTCGTTCCAGCGGTATTGCTGCAGTGCACGCCAGAATCCACACCGCCGCCGCCACCGCCGCCGCCGCCGCCACCGCTACCACCGTTGAATTCTTCCATGCAATCCAGACTCGCTATAGGTGCACGGCAGCTGCGCGTACAAAGTGTACAAAGTATTAATAGGTTACGATCGATCGGATGCTCGATACAACCGCGCGAAACCTTAATGTCTACCCGTTTATCGCGCACAGATTTTCGAAAGAGAAAGAGAGAGAGAGACAGGGAGAGCGAGAGAGAGAGAGAGCGCGAGAGAGACATAGCTAGAAAGAGCGAAAGACATAGAAAGAGAGGAGAGAGAGAGAGGGAGAGAGAGAGAGAGAGAGAGAGAGAAATAGACAGAGAAAGATCCGCCACGGCGTGCATGTGTCATCGCTGCGTGTGGCAACCGTTTCGCAGCGAACCGACCCGAGAACAATAGAATCTCCCGCAGCCGAACTGCAAGGTCACGCCGTGACCCCGGCGCACGATCCCCTATGCACCCAGTTTTCTCGGTGATTCCTTAATGAATCGCGAATATAGAACGTCGGGGACTCGAAAGTATTTTGGCCGCGCGCCATCGCGGACGAAACGATCGTTCGCGGAGAGAAACCGAGCCGCGTACACGCGTACACGGAGGAAGTTAGGGCACCGGTCGGATACGGGAGGTTCCACCGGACGGAGTGTAGGGCGGTTTCGTTGAATCGGCGCGGCAGATTCGGGCACGTTGTGCTGCGGGGAACGATTCGAGAAACGAATCGGGGGAGGAAGATTCGTTGCGGTTGTTCGACGACCATGCGGAGCAACGCTGGCTTGGGGGGGAAATAAATTCTGTTCGTGCGGACGGTTTATCCGCATTTTCCGGGCGAGTCGAACTTGAAAATTCGCGCGAGTACTCGTGAATATTCATGCCAGGGTGGCGTCCTTCTACTCGCGGAGTCGGCCAATTTACCGCGGAATGGAACACCCGGTCCCCGGTCGATGTTTACAAACATTCGAGCGAGTAGAATTAATCAATAATGAAATTAGCCGGCGCGGCCGAGCTTCCGATTCGAATTCGATTCGCCCGAAAACGCGGGCTACACCTAGAAAACAATTTCGTTTCCGCAAGTTCGATTTGTTTTCGCCCCCCAGAGTGTTCTACGTTACGATTCGTGCCATCGATATTTCGGCGCGTCCGGGTATAGTTATTGGAAGAGAGAGAGAGAGAGAGAGAGAGAAATATAGCGAGATAGAGAGCAAGAGAGAGAGAGATAGTGAGATAGAGAGCAAAAGATAGATAGATAGAGAGAGAGAGAGAAATATAGCGAGATAGAGAGCAAAAGAGATAGAGAGAGAAATATAGAGAGATAGAGAGCAAAAGAGAGAGAGAGAGAGAGAAATATAGCGAGATAGAGAGAGAAATATAGAGAGATAGAGAGCAAAAGAGAGAGAGAGAGAAATATAGCGAGATAGAGAGCAAAAGAGAGAGAGAGAGAGAGAGAGAAATATATCGAGATAGAGAGCAAAAGAGAGAGAGAGAGAGATAAATATAGCGAGATAGAGAGCAAAGAGGGAGAGAGAGAAATATAGCGAGATAGATAGCAAAAGAGAGAGAGAGAGAGAGAGAGAGAGAGAGAGGGAGAGAGAGAGCGAGTGAGCGAGATCAGTAGGTATCTATTTTAAAGTGGCCGGGGAATTGTGATACAGTGACGGAGCTATCGGTCGATCGACTATATGACGTCACGATAATGATTTCGGATCGTCGACGGGGAATGCACGATTCTTACTACTGTGCCGAAGAGCGTCCGTGGAGCGGTGAAATCGGGGCGAAAGAACGGAGGTAAAAGAGTACGACGATGAAGGAAACGTCAAGGACGTTCGACGTCGAACGAGGGCTGGCTCGGCGGGGGATATCTATTTGCGTGTATGGTAACGACCAAGAAACTGGCAAACTAGCGTACAATTAAAAGTAGAGTGACATCGATTCGCGTACAGGTATAGTAGGTCAGTGGATCTGTGGCGTACATGCGGCGGCACGATTAGACGATCTATCACGATGGACGCACGATCGAACACGTGCGTCCACGCACATGGGAGAGCAACACGACGACGGGGCAACAAAGTTACGGTTGTACGTTGGGTAAAGCGTTATCGATAGCGTGCGTCGATTAAAAACGTCGTATGCGATCGCCGCGATCGCCGTTGTCTCAGGCATCGCCTTCCGATTCCCTCTTCTCCGGGACACACTCTACCGTCGGTCTCCTCCTCAAACACGATCCGCTCTCCAGAAGCGAGACAAGTATCATCGCGAGTCAAGCACGGAAACAACCACCCCTGGCGTCGGTTCGAAATGGGTTCGTCGTTGTTCGAAGTGTTCCAACAAAAGATTGTTTCGCCGAGCTGTTAGGCGGGCAGTAGCGTGGAAACGAAAAGAAATCATAGAGAAAGTGATAGATGACAGAGAAAAATAGATAGAAATAGATAGATATATAGATAGACAGATGGATAGATATAGAAAGAGAGAGAGAGAGAGAGAGAGAGAGAGAGAGAGAGAGAGAGAGATGTGACTCGGTGGAATCTTACTTACCGATAAATCGTAGGCAGCGAATAATAGTCGTCGTCTTCCATACTACTGTTTGTATTCGCGTTGTTATTCGTATCATTTCCAGCCGTGGACGTATTACCAAGATTGCACAACATTAAACGGGACATTGTACGGTGTGTGCGTGTGCGTGTGTGCGCGTGTAACTATGCGTGTCTCTCTGTGTTCTCTGTGTGTATGTGTGTGTGTGAGTCGAGACGAGGTGGGACGAGGACGCGAGAGGCTTTCAGCTGTTCCCAAGGAAGCGAGAACTACTCGGAAGAAGGGTTGTTCTAGCGCGAATCGGATGGCGATCGGACTGCGAAGTAACGAACAAGCATCGGACCATTCGGAGCGAGCCGTGGATCGCTAAGATTCCGTATAGATCGTACAGATTTGTGTGTACGCGTATGCGCGCGCGCGCGCGCTTCCGTGCTACGTGTGTGTGCACGTATGTACGTATACGTGATGCAGCCTCGATCCGGTGCGTCGAAATCGGTCGGCCACCGATTCGCCCCCCAAAAAATGAAAGAGAAGGAAGAAGAGTCGTTCTCGAACGGTTCTGATATATTCGTTATTGCGCGTACGTTTATATATAGGCACTAATTTTCCTCTCTTTTAAATATTTTCGTTTTTTTTAGCGATTATTTTTTTCGTTTCTCTCTCTTTACTTAAGTTATTTAGGCACCACAGAGTAAAGAACAAACGGGGAAGGGGGGGCGGAGGAGGCGAGGGAGGAAGGGAGGGGGTAACAAGTCCGCACGCGACTATTCTGGTAAAGGTAGAGGCGGCGGGACGTGTTTTAGTGACCTGTTTCGCACAAGTCGGCTCGATCACTACACTGCGCGGAAACCGGAGCACGGAACTCCACTCGTTTTAAAAGCAACGTGTCGTTCTGTACATTACGTAGAAACGAACGGCGTGGTCGATATGAGTATTTCGATATGTGATGCGATTGCTATTCAATTCGACGTACGGAAAGATATACATATATATGTATGCATATACGTGCGTCCATATACACGTACATATAGATATATATACATATATAATATATATATATTACTTCGTTATCTCTCTGTCGTTCCAGGCGTGTGTATATATGCGTACGTGTGTGTATGCCGTTTCCTTCTTTTTTTTTCTTTTTTCCTCTCCTCGTTCTTATTAATTTCGCTCGTCGGCGGGAGCGGGCTGGCGGACGGGGGAGAGGGAGGTCAGAGGAGAGGCGCGACGACGACGACGATGATTATTGCCTTCGAATCCGCCGCTCGTTCCGGACTTGTTTCACCACCACCACCAACCACCACCACCCGGGGTACTCGAAACAGCCACTATTCCCTCTCTCTGTTCGTAGGAATCGAAGAGGTGTCCAAAGGTGGCCGAACGGGACGGTAATTCTCGTGGGCCCGTGTTACACGCACTGCCAATCCCGTTCACGGCTCGTGCAGCGGCGAGAACGCTGCTGCAGTCCCAGTAGTCCGGCTTCCGGTTCCAGGTTGGGGCTCGATTTTTTCTTCGACCTCGACTTCGACTTCGGCTTAGGCCTCGATCTCGGCTTCGGCTTCGCGCGTACTGTCGACCGCGAGTTCGTTCCCGAATCGCGTGGCGATTCCAGCATTAAACTTCGTTGTCGATCGCGTGTGCGTAAGGACATGCGACGCGCGGACTAGAGAATGATTCTCGGCGAAGAAAGCACACCGGGGCTACTACCGTGATCTCGGGGGACACCCACGAGAGAGCAGTACCCTTCTTTTTTTTTCGATTCTTTCTTTTTTTTTATTTTTTCGTTCTCTCTCCGGTTGATCGATTCTTGCGGGGTGTTTGGTTTTGCACCGCGGGAGAGAGAGATACGTCACCGGCCGTGACGAAGACGAAGGGAAGAAAAGGCCGTTCCGGAGGAGCAACGGTTCTACGGTTTCGTACGAGCGGGGGCGGTTTTTCGTTCACAGAGAAAACGAGAATGATGAAGCACCGACTGACGACGACGTTGACGACGCTGACGACGCTGACGACGACGACGACGACGACGACGACGACGACGACGGGAACGCGACAACGGAAACAACGTTCGTAGAAACGGCAAGTGGCTATACCTCGGACGTGTGGCAAGCAACACTGCACAAATTGGTTCCACTGTGACTCCCTCCTTCGCAGCAGCAGCGACGAGCGTGCGTGCCTCCGTGCCTCCGTTGCCACCGTGCCTCCGTTGCCACCGTACCTCCGTACCTCTGTACCTCTGTACCTCCGTAGTACCTCCGTAACCGCCGTTCCTCTGCGCTCCCTCGAGCACACGGATCGCGAGCCGAGCGGGTGCCAAAGCGCGCGCGCCCACGCCCGCGCACTGCGACCACCGCGATCACCGAAGAACACCTCGCGCCCTCGCTTCACCCCCTGGTTCCGTCCACCAGCTTCCATGCCCTCTACGGCCGCCGTCCCCGCGCCTCGCCGCCTCGTCAAGCGGAGCCGAGCCGAGCCGAGCCGAGCCAGAGGGTTGCGGTCCATCTCAGGGCGCATGACGTTGCCTACGTCGCATTCGGCGCATTCGGCGCATTCGCCGCATTTGTCGCATCGAGTCGCCCTCGCAGCTATATCTCTACCTTCACCTGATCTCGCTCGCTACCTATGCATCTCTATCTCCCTCTCTCTCCCTCTCTCTTCCTCTCTCTCTCTCCCTCTCTCTTCCTCTTTCTCTCTCTCTCCCTCTCTCTCCCTCTCTCTCCCTCTTCCTCTGTCTCCCTGTCTCTCTGTCTCTCTGTCTCTCCGCGGATCCCACACCCTTCCTCCCGCACAGACAGATTCGCAGACTGTATCCTTCCTCGCGAATCTCGACGCGCGAGCTCGGCTCCTTTTCGCGATCGCCGCTCGCACAGCTCGCCAATCAAATCCGCCAAATCTTGGCCTCCGTTCTGCACCAACGTTCGGCATTGGCCGGACGACGGATCTGCGCGCGGTACTCGAGAGGTGCGCAGGCAAATCGCTTTTTATCTAGACTTCTTCGCTCTTCGGATTCTCTAAGGCTGCGTTATTTCGTTATCCGGCTATCGATTCAGATAAGTTCCCGTCGTTGTACAACTCCGTCGCCTGTGTTCGTCAGTTATCGTTGTTCATGCATTGTTCAGAGCTCGGGAATTGCTCGAACGACGAGCTTTTTTTCTGCGTGGGGTATCGTCGCGTGGTATTTAGCTCACACGCGAAGGTAGATTGTTGACTCGTCGATAGATCGTTTCTCACGACTCGGCTATCGAATCATAGAATTTTCCTGTTAACAGTACATCTCTTCGTTCTTTTATTCGTCGGCCGTTGTTGTTGCTCTCTTACGTTGTTCACAGCTGGAGAATTGTTCGATGGGTACGCGCGTACCGAATCGTTGCGTGGCATTTTTTGTTTGTCCGCGAAGACGACTTCTTTGGGTAGATTGTCTCCTTGCTTGTCTGATCGAACGATCCGTTGACCGTTGCCCCAATCAGCGATCGCGTCCGTTCCTCCATCGTTCGATGCTTCGTCGTTTGTTTAAACAATTCGCAGTTCCGCGGATTTAGCCGGATTTCGCTGCGAGGTCTGCGGTTACGTGAAAATAATTTTGTTTGAGTTTCATGTATCGGCGAAATCGCGATATATGCTCGAACAAAAATAGCAAATCGATGGAAATGATTCACGAGCATCAGTCTCGTATTTTACTCCGAATAAATTGTATTCGCGCCCCGAATCGTAGCTCTTGTCGGCTACTGATTACGATTCCGGCCACGAGCATTTGGACACTTCACGACGATATCTAATCAACGGCACGGTATTATGATTATTGAAATGTGGAATTTCACACGGTCGTGATTCACGGTGGAGATTCGCGAACAAAATTGATGAAACAGAAACTTCCGAACTGCTTCCTAATATATTTCATTTTGTTAACCAGTTAGCTGTGGCGCCTCCATTTCAGAGCGCGCATATATATGTGTCGCGAGAATCAAGCGACGACGAGTATACTCGTCGAACACGATGTAAGTGTCGCTGTTAAAATATTGGGTCAAAAAGACGGTTTTATTTGATAAATCAAGCGACGACGAGTATACTCGTCGAACACGATGTAAGTGTCGCTGTTAAAATATTGGGTCAAAAAGACGGTTTTATTTGATAGAATTAACAATTTTATTACCAATATTTACTCATTCACTCGACGTTAATATATATCATATACATAATAAACGAAAAACCCAGGGATAATCGAATACTTGTAAAAGTTAAAAATTCAAATTGCTGCTGCAGAGAGAGTGGTATTTAGCAAAGCAAGGAACAATATACAATAGCACTTTGCACGTCGAGCACCCCAATACCGTGATTCTTTTCTAATTTTATTTTTATAACAATGTAAACAACTTCGCGCAGGATCGGCCTGAAAATATTCTGAACATCTTGAAATTTGAGAATACGTTTTTGTTTTCCTTAAAATTACAATTTAAACAGCCAATGGTCGCTGCTTCTTACGCGCGACGAGTATACTCGTCGTGTCACAAAATATTGCCATTTCTCTATGACGAGCATGCTCGTCGAACACAGCTAACTGGTTAATCCTGGCAGACCGATTATATAAATATACTGTGACCTAACGTTTCCAACTCGTACTCCTTGAATAATCTTAATAGGCTTGTTTCGTCAGAAGCTATTCCTTTTCCTTAACACTTTTAGCTATCCAGAAGCCTATTAACGAGCTTTTTAATGGCTGTGCTATATTTGAAAGAAGCTTGATCATTCTCTCTTAAATAACAACCTTGAGAGGGAGAAGGCGAGGGATAGAGAGGGAGGGAGAAGAGAGAGAGAAAGAGAGAAAGAAAGAGAGAGGGATTATTGGATTTTATGATTCAAGACGCCTAATTGGCTTACCAATGAAATTTGTACCACTACTGGGCGATTCGCTGGGGGAAACCTTGAATTATTTATCTCTAATTTGTAAAGGACGCAGCTACCGGTGAGTAGACTGTTAACTCCTGTTGCACTTAAAAGCGCTCGTTTTAGATATTGTGACTCTCGGAATAGAAGAGCAGGATAAGAAGCACGTCGAGTGGAGGGACGGCTTAAATGATTCCTTTCGCGTTGAAAGACTTGTTTTAAGAATTTCAGCTTGTGCAACGCGTCGGCCGCGAAGACCGAGCATCCGATATTAAACGCGCAGAAATTGTAAGCATAATTTCATCGAGTGGACGTAAAATGAAAATTTCCTACTCCGATTACACAGCAGAAAGAATTATTACCAGAAAGAATAAACGAATTCCCTTTCGCGACAATTTTAATCGCTCGAAAACAACGCGAACGGCATCCTTCCAACGTTTCCGCTCGCATTCGACCCTACGCCTACTTTCGCCGTAAGTGCATAAAAATCCCCCTAGTCTGCTCGCAACTGTCCAAATACTCGCGAACAACGGCGCACGTTCTTTCTTTTCTGTTTTTTCCTCCAGCGTATCCGTTTCGTTCCGGCGACTTCGCGACCCCTGTGTCCCACTTAATTGCAACGCTTCGCGTCGCTTCCGTGGACCAGCATCCGAAGCGAGAAAATTAATTGGAGGTTCGATCAATCTGTAATTGCGTTTCGGGCGCATAAGCAGATGTTACGTGTGAAATCCGGGCGGAAAACAGGCTCGGCTCTCGTGCGAGAAGAACGGGCGAATTTAAAAATCCTTTGCGGAGCCGCCGTATCGACCCGAACGCAGCACACCGAGGGGTCGAACAAAAGTGATTCAACGGTGTGCATCGGAATTAGTGGAACACGCGCGACGATGCACACGCTTCGCGGCACGGAACACGGTGCCGCCATTGTGCGGGATGTGCACGCGTGAAATGCACGCCTTAGCTGTTTCGATCACGTCGTTTCGGCCCCGTCCACCCCCTTTGTTTCTTACCGGTTGGGAAACGGCAAGACGGGGTTCGCCGGATCGATTCATAGTTTTGACGCCTTTCGCACTGTATCTGCGGGCACATAGGCGTGCACAGGGTGTTGTTCGAACGGTCGGGGCTACGTTTCGGGAGGCCCGGGGCCAATCTGGAATTGAAATCAGCGAGCGCGAGCCTCGATATTCGCTTCGATATTCGGCTTGTTTTCCGACGTATTAACCATTCGAGATCTCTCACTGATCCGCCAATAGTGGCGCGAGTAAGTCAGGTCAGGAGGAGAGCGTGGACAGTGGCGTAGCGCGCCAGGGACAGAGGCGGCGGGGGTTGGCTCCTCTCGCGCCGCCATTGGCCGCACTTTGATCGCTGATAACTCGATAACCAAGCCGAATCCGCGATTTTTTCACTCTCGAGTTTCGCTCGATAACGTCCCGAGGAGCTCGTCCCTTCGAATATATCGGGCCGGTTCAACGGCCTGCGCGCGGCCTCGCGAATGTCCACGTACCGGGAATATCGACACATGTAAAACGTAAACAATAGGGGAAAGCAAGGATTGACGAACGAGTGGAAAAGCGAAATGACAACGACCTCAGCGACAACGCCGCATTGCGGATCCGGTGTGGTGACGTGCAGCTGACCCCTTCCTGAGCCGTTTATGACCGCCCACGTTGTTCGACCTACCGACCCATATAGCACATATGCGTTCGACCTACTGCCATCCGACCTTAGCTCCGATCCGATCCCTTTAACCATGCGTAACCCTCTGTCGCACGCTAAATACGTCACCGTGTATCGTTTTCCATACACCGTCGCGTTATCGCGAAATTCTCCGGCAAAGACCTTGCGACTACCTTTTCTAGAGCACGCTTGCGCGCGCGCCCGACCGCGCCGCCGTGAAAATTAAAAATTACCCGTCGAGACCGTAAAAAAACCCTTCGCGTTTGCCTTTCGTCACCCGAATTTTTTGTTGCCCTCGTTCGAGCAGCAAGATCATCTTTTATTCAGGGGATTAACGACTCTTACGGAGTTTTCGAAAGTTTTCAACGACTTGCATGCGATTTCTCAACCCTCCCACTCCCCGGGGAGGGGGAGGGTACAACTCGCTGATTCTCTCCGCGTTTGTAGCTGCTGCGAAATAAGTGTTTTGTCGGCGTGGCGTAATTAGCGCGCTTTCGGGCCGATGGAGCGGCAAGGATTTATTCGTAAACTTGTTAGCAGCAGCCTGCGGATTGAATCGTAAACCAACGGGACACCGTCGCGACGATTCCGCTTTCGATCGTGGCTGTTGTCTATAGGCTTCCGGATCGAAGTATTATTCGCTGCCTGCGAATAAAAGTATTATCTTCGGGCACGAATGAAAATAGGAACACCGCCGCCATCGATAGAGGACGACCAAGGAATCGTTGTTCGTTCAAGCCGCTCTACGGATAAAAACGACGTCCTCGCGTTCGAATAAAAAGCTCGCCTCCTCCAAGAGAAGCCGGTGTTCTCTCTTATTCGCTAAACGAACAATATGATCCCCGTGTTCGAACGGGGCTCGTTCAAACCCTCCGAATAAAAAACATCGTCTTTTCGTTCAACCAAAACCCTGGTTCCTTCTATAATATGACATGAAGAAATATTAGGTCTACCGGAAAGTTCTGTCCGTTTGAGAAATGAAAGGAGATAATAGATTCTTCATAAATTTAGTAATATTCACTGTACGATATAATTTCCGTCGTTACTTATGACCTCTTGCCAGCGTGATGGCAATTTGTGAGCAACATTTTTCAAAAATATATGTCTCCAAAGGAATATGTGCATATCTATCGAAATTTGCAATGACATCATCAGACAGAACTTTCCGGTAGACCTACTATATTTCTTATTTGAAATCACCGAACTAAGAAAGAATTGTCTTCACGTTCGAGTGCAAACAGAAACACCAGCTTTCGCGTTAGAAGGCGATGAAAATGTCGTTGCTCGTTCAAACCGTCCGTACGAAAACATCGCCTTGAACCGAAAAAAAACCTCACTCTTTCCGATACAAGGCGAAGAACTGTTCCATAATGTTTCTTGTCACCGAACTGAACAAAATTATCTTCGAGTACAAGCAAAAATTTCACCTTTCCCGATAGAAGAAAGGAGAAAGTGTTCTTGCCCGTACAAACCCACCGAACAAAAACATCCTCTCGTACAATCGAACATCTCGTCCCTTCTAATACAAGATGAACAAATGTTTCTTCCTTATTCGAAGTCACTGAAACAATGATCATCGCAATGGAATGCAAACGGAAACCGCACTTTCCCGACCAAAGATTCGAACAGTCGTCTTCTATCGTATCGAACGATCACGTTCACTGTGATAGAAAGTAAAAATCTCCTTTTTTTTTAAGCAAACTAGAGGAGTAACCATTGTTATACGTTTGTTTACGCAGCGAATCCGGCGAAATTCGCGGGACCGGTGCGTCGCGAACCGTTCGTTAAAGGCCGTGTGGCCCACTGCCCGATAAGTGTCCGCACGGAACTTTACCGAACCGAACGAACCAATCGAGAGCGAGAGCGCTGTTACGGCGGCGTTATCTTACCTGTCAAAAAACCAGGACGTCCCGACGTGTTTCTGGCCCTTGCTCGAGCGAATCTGCGACGCGTGGCGGTTGCAGATTCTCTTCTTGGGCTCGTGCAGATACTCCGTCGTTGAAATCGTGCCAAAGGTCTCGGAAGCATCGATTACAGTTGCCAACGCGCGAACTCGTCGCGACCGCGGATCCGGACCCTAGCTACCGCAATTTTTCGATCAACCGCACGCTCGCGCCCGCTCGAAACGCCGGAAAAAAGCACACACACACACACACACACACGATTCCCGTCCGCCGGGCCGGACGGGGGAAAAACCGCGCCCGCGGGATCTATAATAGCTGTTTAAAATAACTTATTACAGTACTTTATTAAACACGTTAAGTTCGTAGATTACCTAAATACACACCCATCGGTGAATTTCAGTACACGTCACAATGCACGGCGAGAGGCGAGAGCGAGTGTGGCACCTTGAAAACGCGACGCTTCGAATCTACACAACGTATTCTATGTCTTTTCTTTTCTTTTTTTCTTGTTTTAATGAACGGAACGATCGCTTCGAAAAGCGCATCGTCGATGATTTTCTAGGCGGGACGGCGGAATCTGGTAGACACTGTTAAATATAGCGCTGGCTCGATTCGGTATGGCATGACAGCCCCTGGCGCGGGTCAAATCGCGGGCTTTCGTCGATAGTATCACGGACAAATTCGGATATTTAGGTATTTGAAAGTCAGATGTAGGTGCCGCCGCGGCGACGACAACCGAGATCTTGGCGCGGAACGACGGAGCTATTATTCCGTGAACAATATCGGAAACCGCGGGGACCGTAAAATGTTGCGAACAAGATCTCCCTTTAATTCTGTGATCCCGTGTCTGTCTGTCTGTCTATCTGTCGTGTTCTTTTCATCCGGCGATCGACGAAGGAACATCTCGTGTTCGCAAGGCGCGGGCACGCTCTCTGCGGCGTCCACGTTTATGTATTTGGTATGAAACGAATGAGTGGCATCTCTTTCGGTAATGATCGTCGCTGTGTGTCATAATTGATATTTTGTAATTTTTTCCCCTTCCAATAATAGATTATCGTAAATGTTCCGCAACGACAACCGATTATCGGAACCTGGCTCGGTGGTGCTCGGCGCTTACGTGTACACATACATACGTAACGGGCACGCGGGCATTTTCGTTGCCTCCGGTGTGTTCTGAAAACGAGACGCATCCGTAGAGACGGCAGTTCATTTTCGAACGCGCATGATCGTGCACGCTTCCCGTCCGTCGCGGCTCCCGCATCGGCGATATTATAATTGGCCGATAACGACCAATCCGGCGATTTTAGAATGAAGGAAGAAAAAAAAGGAAATAATCCGGTGTCCGGTTTAACGGGGTAATTCTCGTAACCGGACACGGCGAGTCGCTGCTTCGTTTTCCCAGCACCCCCCCTGCCCTCCCCCCGACCGATCGACGCGTTTCCGCACGAAAGAAACGGCGTCCGTTGGACGCGGCGGCCGGTTCGTTATCGAATGCGCGCGCGATCCTGTCCCGTGAATTCAGCAATTTCGGCAAAAAGTGGCGCGACCGTGTTTCCGCGATGCGTTTCTTGCGCGTGCAGCTCGACGCCGAACGTCCGACTCTACGATCCGCTTCGTTTTTTCCCTGCTCCCGATTGAGAGTTGTAGTTTAGGGCGAGAGAAAGAGCGACAACGAGACGAGGCAAGTGTGTCGAGGGCGACGGTAGACGGTTCTTTTTTTTTCCCGAGAGCCCGGAACGTTGGACACGAGAGAAAGTTAACAAAAGGGGGATGGGGAGAGTGGACCTAGACGGGCTCTGATCGAAAGGGGGTCGAAGCTGCGGCTCGAACGGATAAAACATAATGCATAACCGGCCGGTGAACAGTCGGCGCGATGCGCGGACAATAAACGTAGGGGGTGGAGCTTTTTTTTTCTTTTTTAATCCCCGCGAGAGAGATGGTGTCTCTTAAAAGCGAAACGAGGAGTGAGGGAGAGAGAGAGACGGGGAGAGGGAGAACGGGCGAGAGAAAGAAAGAAGGGAGGAGGGAGAGAGAGTGTGAGAAAGAGAGGTTCCGCGTAATATAAAACAGTATTCTTCGGTCCACGGTGTTGCGTGTCGTCAGTTCTTAAAGAACATACGATAATCAACTAAAACCGTATCGAATATCGTTAAAAACGTTCTACTCTCGGTTCCCGTATCACTTGACCGTCCTTTGACAGGTGGGCAAATTTACCCTAAAGAATACATTTAGTTCTATCAACGATGCTAATATGAGGAACACAGCATACATACACAAACAGGCACGGCCTACTTTTCTATCGAGCTGAAACTTATTCGAGGCGAAAGCAATGTAAAGTAACATCAGCGTCGACAACAACGATATGGCGCTGTACTCCAGGCCGCCGGAGTTTATACTGATGTAATGCTTTCCAGGCTGCGTCGGCGAGAACGATGATTTGATTAGCCACGGCAGGCCCAGGCATAACAATATGTCGAACGTGTTCGAGCCTATTGAATTACTGATACCCATTGAGCCGTGCCCTAAACCGAAAAACACAGATTCAGGCTCGACGCGAATCGCTCGCTAATGTTCCTTCTGTTACGACTCCGACAGAAAGTTTTCGATCCAACCCTCGGTCCGATCTATACAACTAGACTGTATAAAAGCTGTTTGTTTCTTTTTTAACACGAAAGCTGTCGGTTTCTAAACGTGACTAATATTGTTGTACAGTCCTGGACCAATATACACCTTCTGAAAGGGGATAACGTTTCTAAAATTGCACCAAACGAGCTGAATTCGTTTTTCAGATATTTGAAGGACTAGTTTACTAGATAATGTGTACATTTTGTTTTGCAAAAATAGCAATTGCGTGAACATTTTGGAAAATCACCTCCTTCGACAAAATTTTCAGCATGCGTATAAGCTGAGACGCGTGATATTCTATTTTTCTTTTCTTTTATCATTCCACTCAATCGCAGTTTTTACAAAAATCGTTTTATGCCATTGTCCAGCAGACTATGAATTCCATCGTCCTAAAAGGAATAAAATCGTTTGGTTGAATTCTAGAAAGATTATCGCATTCTAAATCCTTCTAAAAAGGTATCTACATGACCTTGTCCACGACAAGATTGGATTTGCTCAAACTTCGTACGATTTCCATTGCAGTGGGACTTCGATTATCCGAGCTAAGTAGAGTGACGACGAATGTTTGAATATATTGATATATTGGCCAGATAATCGAGGTTCCAGTGTACGATATACTGAACGAAAAAGTTTATCAAGAACTAAAACAGACGATCAATCATTTCGTCTAATTTGGTAATTCTGGTGTCAAGAATAGTGGATTGGCTCTGAAATCCACAGACACGGTCAATTCTTCCCAATTGACGCTCAAATTGTGCACAAAAATGGAGAATTTGGGAAGAAGAGATACAATTATTCGAACGTTAATTAAGGCCCGTTTTTTATAATCGTTGACAATCGTTAACCACAAAAACGAGCCGCAAGGCTCGAATAATTGTGTCTCCTCTTCCCAAATTCTCCAGTTTCGTGTACAATCTGAGCGTCAATTAGAGAGAATTACATAAACAAAGTGTCCCAAAATTATGGCATTTCCATGAAATAAGAGTTTCCTGAGGTCATTTGAAGTAACTTTTTCCTTAGCAAAAATGCAATCCGTGGCTTCGTTCACGAGTTATTAGCGAAAAACAGTGACCACTGAAAGGCGAGCACGGCTGGCGGTAAGCGGCCGAGCCAACGACGCCAGCGGTCGAGCGGCCGAGTCAACGGCGCCAGCGGTGGGGCGGTCGGTCGAATCCTAGCTCAGCTGGCGCGAGGCGGCCGAGCCAACGGCGCCAGCGGTCGGGCGGTCGAATCCTAGCTCAGCTGGCGCGGGACGGCCGAGCCAACTGCGCCAGCGGTCGAATCCCAGTTCCGCTCATTGGCTCAGCCGCCTCGCGCCAGCCGAGCTTGCCTCTCATTGGTCACTGTATTTCGTTAATAACTCGCAAACGAAGCAGCGGATTGCATTTTCGTTAAGGAAAAAGTTACTTGAAATAACCCCAGGAAACTCTTATTTCATGGAAGTGCCATAGTTTTGGGACACCCTCTGTACATATCAATGTTCGTGTTTTAGACACGCCTGAATAATTCTTTGGATACGTTCACGATTGGATCGAACATTTTCTGTCGGAAGTGATATCACTCCATGTACGACACGTCGATTGTTTTACCTTGCTTGGCAACTATCACGCTGGACACTGCTTCTGGAACGCTGGTGCCGGCTGCGAGAAACGTAATGCCCATCACAGAGTCCGGTATCTTTAGGGTATCACCTGGTAATCGAACGGAACACTCGATAACTAGTGTGTGCAACGATGATTTCTATATGTTCGACGATTCTTCTTACCGATTATTGTGATCATCCATGCGACGACGTAGCTCAATGATCCGATCCAGATGATGCACATGAGAAATGTGACCGGGAACCAATTCTTGAATCGCTGCTTCTCGCAATCTGGTATCGTGCACATGAATATTAGGTGTATCGGCCACGTCAAGATCCAAGCCGTTTTTCGTATCCAACCTGCCCGCGCTGGCCAGACCAATAACTCGTACTCGTAGTCTGTGCAATGGGAAATTGAATCACTTTTCTATAGTTCGATCCGGCACCGGCCGAAATTATTTACCGGACAATTCGAAGCTCGACGAGAAACACGTTTCCAACTTTGCAAGATGGAAAGTTACAAGATGAGATCGTAGAACACGCGAAAGTCATCGAAAACACGATCTTTCCTCGATATTTTTTTGCTAATAAGCTGTTTTCATCGTCGATAACATTGTCGTCGCTTCGTTGCGTGAAATTATTGAAAATCGAGCAGTTGTTATTTCTCAGAAATCCCAAGGTAATTAAACGAAACGGGAAGCGATGATTTTATGCAAGCTTTAATGCATTCGAAACGAAGCACAGCTGAGTTAATATCCATTAAACTATTTTCCCGCTTCCGCTAATTAACAAGAGAACTTCCGAACTCACCCGGTTCGGGATTCTCCTCTTGAGTCTTCGTTCCTCCATTTTGCAAAGGCACATCCGTGCGTTCAGCTTGATCATTGGCTGGCTGCACTTTGTCGGTGCTCGCTAAGCGGATTTCTATGCTGTTCTCTGAAACAAGAATCAACAATTTACACCTGTAACGGGCCACTCTGCTTTCGCACGAGAAACCGGGGAAACATTTTCGACAAACACGTAGCAACGCGAGCATCGATTTTTCTACCCTCGTACGACCCTCGGAAACGATTTACATTTTCATTCAATTACAATTCTGTGTATCGACGGTGTACTTTAACCCTCGTCCCCTATTTTTAGAAAAGTTTAACCCTCTGCTGGCATTGCGGTTTTGATCCACGCGATCCGCGCGACGTCTCCCGTTCCCCGATTTCTTGTTCCATGTGTCTAAGAAATCTGAAAACACTCTAACACACTAATTATAGCTTCTAGTTTGACACACGAATGACACTGTTGCCAAGTGTTCGAACATTTTCCGTCGGAAAGCTTAAAAGAATTCCAACTCGGATTTACATGTTAATTAACTCTTTGCACCGGAAGCTGTTTTAATTCGAAATCCGAAATGTTTTCTCATCTACAGCATTTGCATTTTACATTATTTCTTGAAACTTACGCGTGTGTGAAATTCAACCTATCGTCGCGTAGAATACATGCGCCTTTAACGATAGACGCGATTAATCTATATTGTTTTGTAATAATGACAAGATTCGATTCGTTTAAACTTCCTACGATTTTAATTATATTATGTGCTCGAACGAAGAAGTTCGCATATATATTTCCGATAAAAACGGAAATAGTATTTTTTAACAGTTTTTAATAGTTTTTAATAGTTTTTAATAGTTTTTAATGGTATTCAATAAAATTTTTATGGTATCAGGAATTGTAGAAAAAAACAAAATGAGAAGCCAGTCATTTTACTTGGGTAATTCTAGTGTCAAAATTAAGTTTGAACAAATTCGATAGTGTCAAAATTAACGCGATATAGCAATGTTTTTTTTTTAGCGGCGATACAGAGTCGCGCAGAATACATGCGCCCTTAACGATAGAACTACCGAACCCTAAACGCGATTAATCTATATTATTTTGTAATAATAACAAAATTCGATTCGTTTAAACGTCCGACGATTTTAAATTATAATATGTGCTCGAACGAAGAAGTTCGCATACAAATTTCCGACAAAAGCGGAAATAGTATTTTTTAACAGTTTTTAATAGTTTTTAATAGTTTTTAATAGTTTTTAATAGTTTTTAATGGTATTCAATAAAATTTTTATAGTATCAGGAATTGTAGAAAAAAACAAAATGAGAAGCCAGTCATTTTACTTGGGTAATTCTAGTGTCAAACTTAACTTCGAACAAATTCGACAGTGTCAAAATTAACGCGCTATATCAATGTTTTTTTTTAGCGGCGATACAGAGTCGCGCAGAATACATGCGCCCTTAACGATAGAACTACCGAACCCTAAACGCGATTAATCTATATTATTTTGTAATAATAACAAAATTCGATTCGTTTAAACTTCCGACGATTTTAAATTATAATATGTGCTCGAACGAGAGAAGAAGTTCGCATACAAATTTCCGACAAGAACGGAAATAGTATTTTTTAGTAATTTTTAATAAAATCTTTATAGTATCATGAATCGTAGAAGAAAACAAAAAACGAGAAGCCAATCATTTCGACTACTTGGGTAACTCTAGTGTCAAAATTAAGTTCGAACAAGTTCGACAGTGTCAAAATTAACGCGCTATAGCAATGTCTTTTTAGCGGCGATACAGAGTCGCGTATGGATAAACGAAAATGAAACAGCGAGGCAGTCGGCGGGAAATCGGTCGCGTTAAACGATCCGTAATCAGAAAACGGATGGTTTTCACGGGAGCAGCGTGCGAGGGTTGAAAGCGGGTATCTGATTACACGAGACCGAGTTATGCTACACATATTTGCGTAATGAATATGTCCATACGCGTGGGATACGAATATCTTGAATAGTTGAAGCACGAACGTGTCAGGCCAATTTACCGTGGCCGATCCGAGAAAATTCCGACCGAAGAAGAATCCCGCGTTCAGTTCCGCATGCGATCCGGGCCGCAAGCGAACCACCGCCGCCGCCGCGGCCGCCATCGCCGCCGTGCGTTTTACCTCCCGCGAGTCGATGATCATCCAACGACGATTGATCAACGTCGCGGAACCGTGTGCACCGTTGGAACGATTTGTCCCAGTACATCACGGCGATGTAGACGATGTACAGCAGCACTAGCGCCAACGCCTCGTACCATTCCACCCTCTCGTCGTGTATAATACAGATTAAGATGGCAACGGTAACGCCGTAGGCAAGACAGTCTCTGCTAACCGGCCACCAATCCAACGGGACTACCTGTGTGCACCACGACGGACAAACATAGAATGCTTCCAAGTCCACCGACGTTATGGCAGTTTCAGCAATCGTGCGCCAGAGACTGCGGATGTTTGTGCACCTGTGTCGATCGCGAGCAACGCAAGCACGAATCTGTAACAAGTACCGTAAATTCTCCCTAATCGACACGCTCGGATTGTACACAAAAAATGGAGAATTTTGGAGGAGCAGACACGATTATTCGAGCCTTGCGGCTCGTTTTTATCGTTGCCGATTGTCGATGATTGAGCCGTTTATTTTGAAAGTGGCACAAGTCACTTTACCGTAATGAAAAGTGGTGATTTTTTAATGTTTATACGAAATTATTTATACCGAGAAAAATATCAGTATCCTGAGATAACAAATACAAGTAAATCTTCTCGAAAGTTAGCGTCCATATTTTTAAACGTGTTGAAACGCAGACCCTTAAATATATCGACTTAAAAACAAAGTGACTTGTGCCACTTTCAAAATAAACGGCTCAATTATAAGAACGAGACGCAAGACTCGAACAGTCGTATCTCCTCTACCAGAATTATCTATTTTTGTTTACAAGACAAGGGAATATTCGGCAGAATTTACTGTACCTTTTCGTTTCAAATGCGAAAAGTGCTCTAATTCGGAAACGCTGCCTGTGCACGAAGATCCGCAGTCCGCCGAGGCTCTGCTAACTGCGCGAAGTAAGATAACCTTGCGGCTCATTTTTATAGTTGCTGATTGTCAACAATTATAAAAACGAGCCGCCAGGCTCGAACGAACGTGTCTCCTTTTCCTAAATTGTCCATTTTTGTGTGCAGTAAATTTTTCCTTAATCGACGCTCGGATTATGCACAGATTATGCAGAAAATCGACAACTTGGCAAGAGGAGTTATTCGAGCCTTGCGATTCGTTTTAATAATCACCGATTGTCAACAACTATAAAAATATGTCTCGAAGCTCGAATAATCTTGTCTCCTCTTCCCAAACTGTCCAGCTTTGTGTGCAATCCGAGCGTCAATTAGGGAGAATTTATCGTACATGCTGAGAGTCGATTATGGGAGAATTTACTGTACTGCTCGAAATCGTATCCACCAATTTTTACAACGTGCGCACAAAATCCGCAGTCCACGGTTCACGTACAATTACAATTATTGCATAAGATTCGCGCGAGTAACAAGTCCGTACACGCGGATTCTCTGTCATCGAGTTACATCGTGTCATCTTACGTTACATTTCGTTAGACCAAGCGTGCGAACGAATAATTCTATCGAATCGATTGTCTGTTTTCTAGCAGTCGTAGAATGTGTCAACGCTGTGTGCAACATCGATTCGATGAATGAACTGCAAACGAAAAAGAGTTATTTATTTGTACACCCCGAGGGTCAGGCAAGCCAAAAACGTTCTGTCTGCTGTCCGCCATATTACCGGATGGAAATGTAACAATTTTTCCAGGATAAAAGTGACGAACGTCGGAGAAAATGCTACCTCCGAGTCGCTATCTGTTTTCAGTTATGATAAATAAGACTGTTCTCTCGGTGTTGCACCGTAACACCGAGTCAGACTCGCGACGAAGATCTCTCGTTCGTTGTTTACTAAAGCGTGAACGTTATTCGTTTCTTCCAGATCGAGACAAAATCTGATTCCTCTGTTATCAGAGTCTAGATACACAGCAAAAATGGTCTCTATCGGAGAGATTATCAAGGGCGTAGGAGCGCTAATCAACGCAATCGTGAAAGAAATCGTAGTGTAAGAGGTTAGCTTCCCTCGAGATCACTGCCAGATTCCAACAGTTGAAAATGAAATATGAACACTGTCCGAAGTACGGTTAAATTATTCCTAATTTTTCTTTTTCAGCTTTCCTCTCAGCAACGAAAATGGACAACTTGGAAAGAGGATCAACCCTTTGCGCTCGAGCGGCGACTCCGAGGCACCATTAAAATTTGTTATATCACGTTCTCGGATAATTTTTATATTAACAAAGCTCAAATTTAACTGTTGTATGAGTCACAAGAGTCAATTTCATATGCATAAAATGCACCTTGTTATATAAAATAAAAATATTACAGGTCAGAGAAATTATTTTAGATTTACAGTTAAAATAGCTTCGAGCGCAAAGGGTTGATCGAGCCTCGCGCCTCGTTTTCACAATTGTTCGACAACCGGCAACCATAAAAATGAGCCGCGAGCCTCGAACAATCGTATCTCCTCTTCCGAAATTGTCCATTTTCGTTTACAAGCTGCAAGGAAAATCGAGGAGAATTTACCGTACCGAGGTGTACGAACAAAATGTGCAAGCCTTTTGTGCGCATCTGAAAACGCGACAGAACTTTGTTGGCTTCCCGACGTTTCATTACCGGTGCATTAAACTGGATCATGGTGCATGCACGTGTTAGAAGACGCAGCGGCGTTACGTCGCAGCGGAGAAGCAGTCCGGTTGCCGATTTAAAACAGAATCGATCGACAAGTTTCGTACTGGTTCTGGATCCCGTTCGACTTACCATTCCGGCACCGATACCGCAACAAGCTGGCACGGCGAGGATGTTGAATACAGCCGAGCCTACTATTGTTCCGACGCCGATGTCACCTTCGGTAATGAACGTGCCGATCGCGTTCACGAACAATTCCGGTGCCGACGTTGCTGCGGCCATAAAAGTGGCACCGGCGACGTCCTTGGACATCGAGAGCGCTGCAAATTAAAAATATTTCCCCGATGCGTTTTGTCCCGTGAAATGTCCGATTATTCTCTCTCTCTCTCTCTCTCTCTCTCTCTCTCTCTCACGTGCTCTCTTTCTCACTCGTTCTCTCTCATTCTCTCTCCTACTCGCTCTCTCTCACTCGCTTTCTTTCTCACTCGCTCTCTCTCTCACTCGCGCTCTCTCTCACTCGCTCTCTCTCTCACTCTCTCTCACTCGCTCTCTCTTTCACTCGCGCTCTCTCTCACTCGTTCTCTCTCTCACTTGCGCTCTCTCTCTCTCACTCACTCTCTCTCACTCTCTCTCACACTCGCTCTCACTCTCTCTCTCACTCGTTCTCTCTCACTCGCTCTTTCTCTCTCACTCGCTCTCTCTCTCTCTCTCTCTCTCTCTCCATCTCTATCTCTCTTTCCATCCGCCCTCGTTTCGCAGAGAGAAAAATCATTCGCGAATGAACCGATCGGCGGAACATCAACGGATCAGAACCATCGTTCTCCTTACCGTGACAAATTTTTTCCACTGCGGGTACAAAGAATTTGTCGCATACTACTGCTAACGCGATAAATAGGTATAGAGAGACGATCACATGAACGACGACAGCACCGCCTTGCCTTTCCTTCTCGTCGAATAGATCGTGGGGAAAGTCTTCTATCGCCGGTGGTGTACAATTTATACCTGAAACGTGAAACGATGTGTTAGCGAGCTGCTTTGATCGGCCAGCTTTCCCGATGAGCAATGGTTGTTCTTTTTCTTTTTAAAGTAATTGTGGGAAAATTGTAGTGTTTCGACTACCGAGTAGTTGTATTTTGTCTCCCAAGGACCGAAACGGGTGCCATTGCTACGGAGAATCTTGATGTCCGCTTGAAAAATGGCGTCGAGGTCCGACGTCGAGTGGCTACACAAACGACTGGACCTTTACTGGATTTTTATATGCGAAATCTAAGGATTTTTTATTATCGCATGTCCTTCGAAATGAGTGTACGCGAAACGACTGGAATAACAAACAATTGGGATGATGGGAGGTAAACATTGTTTTTACTCGCCGCAGCTGAAGTACGTTATTTAGCTATACGTCATTGCTAGACTGCGGATGTTTATGCGAAATAAAATGTTTTTATGATAACCGTAAAATGAAAGTTAAATAAATATGCATTTCTTTATTTTATGATGGCAATATATCAAAAATAATACGATAGTATCCTTAAATTCTTTAGAAAGTCTTTATTGATTCCTATTTCACTTGCTCGGTTTTGTTATAAATAAATGAAATCCGCTGTCTAGCCGTCACATTGGAATTTATAAAAACGTTCGAACTATTCCACTGATCTGTATATATGTTCTGCAAATATGTATCGAGTCAAGATTTAAAAAGATGACATACAACGAGGAGTAAAACTGAGATAACACCTTTTAAAACGGTATAACTTTCTCAAAACTGGTCTAAATGACTTGAATTTTTCTTCTTTTGGAAATGTTCGAAGGACTAATTTACTAATTAAATTAGTTCTTCTACTAATTTACATTTTGGACTAATTTACAGTGACTTTTTTATTTGCTATTACTTGGAATAAAAGTATTATAATAAAATTCTCGTTTTTTTTTTATCTTTCTTATCTGAGCCTATAATGAAAATTTAAAAAATGAATATATGTAACTTATATGTAACTTATATAAGTGTCGAAAATTTCATCGAAATCGGTTGACGCAGCTACGGTCACTGGAACATGTAAAAATTGCCGGTTTTTGTTCGAAACTCGTGAAAAACTGCGATTTTCGCGATCATTAATTGTTCACAGCTCATGTCAAGGTCAACCGATTTCGGTGAAATTTTCAGCATGCATATAAGTTACCGAGAAGTAACAAATGCATGTTTCAAATTTTCATCGTAGGCTCGGATAAAAAAGTGATAAAACGAGAGTTTCTTACATTTTTCTTTCTATCCCAAGTAATAGCAAAATTTGAAAAAAGTATTTTTATTTACAGAAAAATTCAAGTCATTTAGAATCAGTTTTAAAAAAGTTGAGCCGTTTAAAAAGGCGTCGACTCAGTCTGCTCCTCATTGTAGCATATCAATTTCAAGGTCTTACAAAGCTTTCAAAGTCTATTAATTTTAAAGTCTTCCCAGCTCGAACAAATACATGCGAAATCAACGCGCGCAAATACGTAAAATTCCATAATGTACACAAGAGCGCATACAAAACAAGTGCGTGTGCGTGTGCGCGCTAAAGAAAAAAAGTATATAAACTCGTGCAATGTTTAACATCTACCATCCGAATTATTTATTCTCCGTTCCAGTTGTTTCGCTTTCGTCTCTGCAACAACGAACCGAGTTAATGCAAACAATTTCGCAGCTGCCAATGGCGTACACGCCGCCGCCATGTTTTCCAGTCGATATCAAATTTTCCGAGCAACCGACACATTCGTCTCTGTTATTAGGACGCAAAGCACTGTAATTCCCGATCGGTCCATTTTTTTTTCGAAAAAGTAATTGCTCATCAGGGAAACTTCCTGCGACAGACGACAGTGACGCGAATCGGCCGCGAAAGGAAGCGTTTCGCAGCGTTGCACGTAAGCGTCGAGCTTACGGAAATGGGGTGTTCGTAAGTGAAATAAGGGAAGCATATAATATATAATATATATTACATATTATATATTATATATTATATGTAATATATATTAACTTATATAATATATATTACATATTATATGCTTCTCTTATTTCACTTATAATATACCCTAATATACCCTTAATATATTCCCTTATTTCACTATATAATATATTATATATTATATATTATATATATTATATGCTTCCCTTATTTCACTTACGACCACCCCATTATATACGACATTATACACCCCATATTACGATATAAATATATAATTTATATTGTAATATAATTTTATTATATTATATATATATATATTATAATTTATATTATAATATATAATATATATTATTATATAAATATATAAATAAGGGAGTACAC